AGATGTCTAAATTCTTTTTCTGTTGCTTTCCTGTTTATCTACTTATGCTCAAGGTCTTTGAGTTTTCTGCCTCCGAAGAGCTTTGGCAATTTCAGTCTCTTTTCTTTATTTTCCCCTATTGTTCACTTTCTGACTCCTGCCCCTTTGACAGCAATTTCCTTGGGGGGTAGCTCTCAAAAAGTCTCAGCCTCATCACATGCTGAGCAATTCATGATGGTCCATTCATGTCAGTCTCTTCACCAGGTGACTTATGGGGCAATAGAACTGGTTGTATGCTGTGCACTTTCCCTCAGACTTAGTGGAATGTCACACAGCCACACTCATGTTTGGTCCCCCATTCTCTCTGTTCTTCAGTTCTCTGGCTGAGTGGCATAGAATGTTGCCATGCTGATATCACAGCCCAAGCAAAATTCTGCTATTTGGAATTTGGAGATCTACCAAGCATGGCAGGGGAGGTGGAGTAGTGGTTAGAATATAAAACTGAGGTCCATTGCAAGTGCATGGGTTGATTTGTGCAGTCCAGTCAGAGGGTGATGAGTGGTGGGCAAGGGGATGCTGAGTGTGTTAGAGGTTAGTGATTAGCCTTCTCTATTGTGAGTTCATTGACTTTTTTTAAAACTTTTTTTGGGTTCTTAGTATTACCTAGATTGTAGAGAGAGATGAAATTGCTTTATCTCTGGTTCATACTTCTTATTTTGAAGAGGTTGTGACGATTAGAGAAAATATCTAGTCCTCCATCTTGTTAGTCCAACTCAGTCATTTTAAAGATGAGGAAACTGAGGAACAGAGGGCAAATGATTTTTCCCGGGTCACCCAATTAATAAGTATCTTATTGGGGATTTAAACTCAGGTCTTCCTGACTCCACATCCAGGACCCTAGCCACCACATCACTCTTTCTCTCACAACACTAGAAAAATTTTTCAGTGGTATCTGCAAACATATCTGATCTCTCATTACCTGCTATTGAAATTATCCATAAGGCATCCACCCATCCATTCATCTATCCATCTATCCATTAGATAAACATTCATTAAATTATTAAATTAAACATTTTTATGTGCAAAGCACTGGGGACACAAAGATTTTTTTTAAAAACACGATAGTTTCCCCATGAAGATATTTACATTCTACTAGGAGGGATACAGATAAATGTGCTACAAAATAAATAGTGATGGGGGCAAAGAGCAGATATAGACAAAGTACTTTAAGGACATTTGAAGAGGAGGGAGCCTTGCCAGCCAGAGTAACAGAACAGTTAAATGGAGTCTCTGGCCCCAGAGCTAAGTCTTGAAGGAAAAGAATGATTCTGAAAGGTGGAGATGAAGAAGGGAGTGCCTTCCAGGCAGGGGAAGCCGCCTTACGAGGGCACAAAGGTGGGAGATTGCATGCTGAATTTAAGGAACAGAAAGATCCAATCTGGCTGGAACACAGTGTTCATGAAAGGATTAATGTGATTTAAAGCTGGAAACTAGAGTTTGGAGCCAGACTTTGAAGGGCCTTAAAGGCCAGGTGACACAGACCCACTCATATGTCAGCCCTGATGTTCCGACTCTAGGTCAGCTTGTTACCTCACCCCACCCCCCACCCCTAGTCCCAGGGGTGTGATGATCCCATGCACAGACTACCATGGGATAAGAAGTGTTATTATAATGATATGGCTGTTTCTGAATCTGGGGTCAGAGTGTGGGAAGGCAGGGGATCCCAGAGCTACATCCGTCTTCCAGGCTTCTCTCACCCGAGGAACACCCCGATCTCTATCATTCTCAGCATCCTCTCTCCATGATGCTACAGACACAGGCACCAGCATCAGATCCAGTCACCCTTCCTGACATATGCTACACTGAGTCACGCTCAGGCTTTCTCACCCTCTGGCTCACCCATCTAATCTCTACGTCAGCTAGTTCATCACCTCATCTATTTTCTCTCATATTCATTTCCCTTTTATTCATATATTTTGTTTATGTATTGCCTTCATTTCCATATATATCCTTCCCATACCTAGCAAGTCATTCATTGTGAAGATTAAAAGAAGAAGAGGAAAAAGAACAGTTCAGCAAAACTAACAACAGAATGTATTAGGAATGTGATGTTCTCTACCCACAGTCCTCCAGCTCTGCAAAGAAGGGGAAGAGGTGCATTTTCTCATCTCTGCTTGGGGATGAAATTTGGTGACAACAGTGACTTAGTGGTTGGTTTGGTTTGGTGATGTTCTTTCCAGTTACATTGTTGCGGTCATTCTGTGTGCTGTGTTTTGGTTCTACTTACTTACCTTTGCATCGGTTCATGTAAGTCTTCCATAGTCCCCAGAATTATTCGTCATTTCTTATGGTACAATACCATTGCCGTGCGTTCCTCTGCTACAACCTGTTTAGCCAGTTGTCAGCTGATGGGCGACTATTTTTTCCCAGTTCTTTGCTACCACAAAAAGTTGCTCTCCCTTTTTACTCCTCCTAATCAATTAACCAATGGGCATTTGATAAGTGCCTACTGTGTGCCAGGCCCTGCAGTAAGTGCTGGATCACTCCTCCATATTGCTACCACTCTCCTTTCGAAACACGTAGCCCTTACGTCTCTTACCCAGACGTTCACAAGTTTGTGTGGGCTGAGGGAGCCACAGCCCTGGGTTACTGAAATGCTGAAAGGGCACATGGAAAAAGCTAAATTTGGCCTCTTTGTTCTGAAGGTCGCCACTTACTAACCATGGTGCAAACAGAAAAAGAAATGGAAATTGCTGCTTTGCTGTTTCAACCCTGGGAATCGACTGTTAGATATGGCGCTGGGGGAAAAAAAGCATATTGTAAACTAAATAATTTACAGATTAAATGTCTAAATGTCAGGGAAGGGGTCAGCCTTGTTGCTTTTAATGGGGTGATTTACATCGATGACTTGCCTTTGGAGTCTGGCTGTATGATTTGGAAACATGCGCTCCCATTGATAAATAATATGGCAGCTTGATAGATGGGGGAACAATAGGCCAGCCTCTTGCCAAATTGCTGTTTCTAATGTTTGTTTAACAGATAAAGGGGTCAGGTGACATTTTCCATCAGCTTGTTGTATAGCACTATAAAAATAAACAGTTCTGAGATTCAGGATAGGAAGTGAGCAGTTCCCAGGGAAGCGTTATCTGCAGTGTGGTTCCCTGCACCAAAAGGGCCCAGCATGCCCAGGTCAAGGGGTGATCAGCTGAATTCCTGAAATATCGCCATGCTTTCATTCATCCTATCACATGAGATAACACGGAAAATGCCTGAAAGTGATGAATACATGCTAGCTGTTGTTATGATTATTTATCAAGTGCTCTCAGCTCTGCCCCTCTCTAGTTGGTGACCTTTCCACAGGTCATCTGGGTCACCTGGGTCTTGGTTTCTTCACCCGTTAAAGGATCCCTAAGGTCAGTTCCCATGCCAGAAGCCTGGGGTCGTAAGTTGTTGTCAAGAGTTTGAAGGTCTGTCACATAACAGAGGGATTCACTGTGTGCTGCTTGTCCCCAGTAAACAGAACTAGGAGGGGTGGGGAGAGGTTGCAGAGAGGTAGGCTGAAGCTCAAAGGAAATGGAAATCTTTTTCATGATTTTTGTTTTTGTTCAGTTATTTCTGTTTTGCCCATTTCTTTGTAATTCCATTTGGGGTTTTCTTGGTAAAGGTACTGGAGTGGTTTGCCATTTTCCTTCTCCAGCTCATTTTACAGATGAGGAAAGTGAGGCAGACAAGGTGAAGTAACATGCACACAACTAGTAAGTGCCTGAGGCTGGATTTGAACTCAGGAAGATTTCCTGACTCCAGGCCCAGAACTCTATCCACTCTAAGCTACTCCAATTAGAACCATCCAAAAGGGGAACAGTCTGTTTCTTGGGAGACAGAAAACTACCTTTGGCAGCTCTTTATCATAAGAGGGCCTCTGAATGTCCTGTGTGTCCATGCCTGTGATTTTGTTTCCCATGCAAAGAGATAAAACCAGGACCACGCAAGATAACACGTAGAGTGCTTTGCAAATCTCAAAGTGCTGCATAAATGCTAGCTATTACTTATTCTTGTTACCTGTTGGGATAATTCACCCACAGTGCTCTCTGGGCAGATGCTCAGTGGTCTTTCAGATGCTGATGCCGAAATCTTAACCATCAGATGCAGTGCTTTTATAGCCCATCCACAGGTCACTGTATTAGAGGCTTTGCAGTGACGATGTTCCAATACTTCTGTAGCCTCCTGGGTCCCTACCCCCGACTCCATGGACTCATTATGCATTCTAGGTAGCCTAGGATCACAGATTTGGACCTCTAAGGGAGGTTAGAAGACAGGGAGACTGGCCCTATTTTACAGATGAGGAGACCAAAGCTAGAGAAAAGTTGAGTGACTTGCCCAGTGCCACACAGCTGGTAAGTCTGTGAGGTGGAATTTGACACAGGGCACATCTGAAGTTAATTCAGGCCCACCTGTTCAGGTGCTCACTAGGCTAAAAGAGCCAAACATGGAAGAATTGAATCGATCAGTTTTTACTCTGTTTGGGGTGCTATGCTAACAGCTGGGGATTCAAAGCGAAAAGCAAAAGCAGTCCCTGACGTCAAGGAGTTTATGTTTTAATGGGAGGGACAACATGCACAGACATAGATAGATATATACAAGATACATGTAGAATAATTGGAAGGTAATCTGTGCTGGGAAGGTGCTAGTAGCTCAGGGAATGGGACGGCCTCCTGAAGAAGGGCGCTTCGGAGCCAAGCCTTGAAGGAAGCCGGGGATTCTAGGAGACTGAGGTGAGGGAGAGGAACACCGGGTGTGAGGAACAGTGAGTGAAAAGGCACGGAGGTGGGGGATGGACAAGAAAGGAATAATAAAACAGCCTAAAGCAGTATCATTCATATTCCTGAGTGTGTACGAGTTCATCTCCCAGAGTATTTGCAGTTTTGCCCTTAGCTTGCTGCACTGTCCATCTGTCAGCTTTTTTACATGCAGAATGGGTTATTGCCATGCTTTGCTCCATGTGGTCATGATCTTGACAGTGACCCCAATTCCTTTTCCTCCATCTCAGCAGGACTGAACTTCTTGGAGGGGCGTGAGAGTGGCCCTTCTCAGCTGCTGGCAGGAAAGTTTCTCCAGGCCCTACACAGACACTGCTTCTTTGGGGGAAGAGGGGGAGAGAGAGAGACATATGGGCCAGCCCTGCGGGCCAAGTAGCCAAATAACTGTGGCTACTCTTCAATGGAGTTGTGATTGCTTCAGTGGAGTATAGCCAGAAACTCATCCACTCTTTTTCCTGTGAAATTGTTGTCCATGACCTCTCATGAACCCTCTATCACTGGTCTGTCCACCATTGGAGGCCTTCCTCAAGGGCTTTTAATGCATGGTGGGTGATGGGCACAAGTATGGCCCTCAGACTATCCATCTGTATCCCTCCTTCTTGCTTCAAGACTGAACCACATCCTCTCCTGATCATCCATTTCCTGTCAAACTACCACCACCGACTTGGCCATCGTCTCCTCTCAGACTGGGATGAAGACAGCTCGGAATCCTGTGCCTAGGACTTTGGAATAGCAGTCCCCTACTCCTCAAGACCAGACTTCACCACTCGGGGAGGTAAGTGCTATCATTATCTCCATCTTACCGATAAGGAAACCTAGGTGAACAGAGATTACTGGACCTTCCCAGGATCACACAACTAGTAAGTATTTGAGATTTGAACTCAGGTCTTCCTGACTCGAGGCCCAGGGCTCTATCCGCTGTACCACCTTTCTGTCCCACGGGACCTCAAACATCACACGGTCCAACTCCTTCACTGCACAGAGTGGGAAACTGAAGGACGAATAAGTGACTTACCTAGGGTCACACGTAGGATGTCAACTTTCAGGCAAGAAGGGACAAGCCTATGATTAATAGGCACACAGGATGGTGACGTGCCGGGAGTCCATGTCATATGAGGGGCAGTTGAAAGAACTGCGAATGTTTAGTGTGGAGCAGAGAAGACTCAACACAATTACTGCGTTTTGAAAGACTGACATATGGAGGCAGGATTAGACTTAGCTCCAAGGGCAGCACCGGGAGCCGTGAGTGAAGTTGCAAAGAAGCCAATTTCAGGCTTAATCCTTGAAAAACTTCCTCACTATCCAAGCTGCCCCAAAGTAGAAAGAGTTACATGGGGTGGGGGGGGCCTCCCTGCTCCTGAGGGTCTTCCAACACAAGTTGCTTGGACACTCACTTGCCGGGTGGTTGTGGGGCTGGGCTGGGCTGGCAATTCCTGTTATGTATGGGTTGGGCGCCACGACCACCAAAGTCTCCCCTAACTCATTAATTCTGTGCTTCTCCAGTGCATTCAGAGTAAAACCTCTCTGAGCTACTGTAAACCTGTTTCCTTTTTGCCACTGCGTTTTGCTTTGAATCATCAAATATTCATACACATCAAGATATTTCCTGGAAGTTATTGGTCTAAGTTTTATTCTTGAAATTATTCATGGAAGTGTTTTTTTTCTCTCCTTTCTAGAAGAAAAGAGCCGAGCATCCAAACAATGGTGCCAGGCCCTGGTCAGATTAGCCAGCCTGTGCACTAGGAAATCAATAAAACCCTAACCCAGGCCTTGTCTGTGAATAAAATTCCTATAAACACAGGATATAATCACACATTTTTACATAGTTGACCTATTGAACGGGCGCACGTGTTTTTAATTTGCAGGGGATTGTTCTCTCGGTAGATTCCATTTCTCCCCCCTTTCCCCCCAGCTTGATTTAAATGGAACAGACACCTTAAAAATCTTAACAAGCATAGCTGACCTTTGAGTGGAATTTGACAGAACGATACTGTGTGAGTGAGACTTGTGTGGAGTGAGGGTACCCAGGATAGACAACTGGAATAAACAACACCGGGGCATTTGCAAATCCCCTCCCCGGCAACTACCCATCTACACAACTGAACCTGTTCTCTCCAAGGTCACGAATGACCTCGCTCTCCCAAAATTCAATGGTCTTTTTCTGTCCTCACCTCCCTGACACCCATCTACAAAATCTGATACAAAAGCCCTCCCCTCCTCTTTCTATAAATATCCCCTCCTTTGACTTCTGTGGTATAGTACTCTCATGGTTCTACATCAACGACGTCTTCTTTTCTGTGTCCTTGGCTGGATCCCTAGCTTCCTCCTACCCTTGAAATATGCATTACCCTTGAGGGTCTCTCCTTGGTTCTCTTCTCTTTTTTCCCCCACACTCTCTCCCTTGGTGGTCTTGCTCAATAGATTCAACTGTGATCTCTGTGCAGATGATTCCCAAATCCTTATTTCCATCCTCCAAGATCCAGTCTTCTTTTCCAACTGCTTGTTCCACTCGGATAGTCAAGTTTCAACTCAACACATTCAAAACTGAACTCAACATCTTGCCTCCTGGCCTTAAACCTTGCTTTCTCCCTAGCTTTCTATATCTATTTTGTAGTGATAGAATGGTACACTGGATAGAGAGCTGGACCTAGAGGCAGGAAGACTTGAGTTCTGGTACCACCTCAGACACTAGCTGTATGACCCTGGGTGAGTCACTTCTCCAAATCTGGGACTCACGTTCCTCTTGTATCAAATGAGGGTGTGGGATAGGATGCCCTCTGAGGTCTCTTCCTGCTCTAGCTCTATGAACCTGTGAAATTAATTAAAGAATTTTGATGATATCACCATCCTTCCAATTACCCTGGCTTAGACCCTTGACTCATCTTTAACTTTTCGTCCTCCACCCTATCTTTAATTAGTAGTAATTGTTTATTCTACTTCCACAATACATCTGCCATTTATCTTTTCTCTACCTCCGTTGCAACCACCCTAGTTCAGACTCTGATCTCCTTTTAATGGACTGTTGTATGATCTTCTAATTGGTCATCCAATCCTCCTTCTCATCCCCTTTTCCATCCTTGAAACCACAGTCCAAGAAGCCATCTAGTTGAACTTCTGGAATCTCAGCATCAATAGCTTTTGGTAGTCCTCTACTTCCTGCTGACTAAAGTATAAATTCCTGATTCCATTTATGACTTCTGTACTCTAGCTCCAACTTACCTTTCCAACCACCTCTCATACTATTTCCCTGCATGCATTTTAGTTTACGGTCCAATTAGACTTCATTCCGTTTCCTGTTGTCATCCTGCATTGTCTTGTCTCAGTGTCTTTGATCATACTGTTGGTGTTGTTCAATCATTCAGTTGTGTCCAACTCTTTGTGACCCCACAGACCATAACATGCCGGACCTTCACTATCTCTCAAAGTCTGTCCAAGTTCAAATCCATTTTTTCCATGATATTATCTATCCATCTCATCCTCTGTCATACCCTTTTCCTTTTGCCTTCTATCTTTACTAACATCTAGGTTTTTTCCAATGAGTCCCATCTTCTCATTATGTGGCTTTTATGCATTATGTGTATGTAAGCTTCAGCATCAGTATTTGACCCTTCAGTGAACAGTATGAGTTAATTTAAGTATTGACTGATTTGATCTCCTTGCTGTCCAAAGGACTCTCAAAAGTCTTCTCCTGAAACGCAATGTGAAAGTGTTGGTTCTGAGGCACTCATCTTTCCTTATAATCCAGCTCTTACAGCTGCACATTACTACTGGAAAAATCATAGCTTTGCCTATGTGGACCTTTGTTGGCAAGGTGACGTCTCTGCTTTTTAGTCTGCTGTCCAGATTTGCCAGAGCTTTCCTTCCAAGGAGCAAGTGTCTTTTCATTTCATGGGGGCAGTTGCTATCTGCAGTGATCTTTGAGCCCAAGAATATAAAATCAGACACGGCTTCCATTTTTTCTCCCTCTGTTTGCCAGAAAGTGTTGGCACCGGTTGCCAGGATCTTAAGTTTTTTTATGTTGAGCATCAAGCCAGCCTTCACACTGCCCTCTTTCATCTTCATCAAGAAGCTTCTCAATTCTTCTTTACTTTCTGCCATGAGAGTGGTGTCAGCTGAATATCTGAGCTGGTTGATATTTCTCCCAGCAACCTTAATTCCAGCTTTTGATTCATCCAGCCTGGCATTTTGCATTGATCATGCTACCCTCCTCCTAAGTTAGAATGGACTCCCCATTGAAGTCCATTTATCCATTGAAGTCCTTCCCTTTCTCCAAAGTTCAACACAGTTTACCTCCTCCACGAAGCCTTCTTTGATTGCCCATCCCCCTCTTGAGAGTGACTTTGGCCCTCTTGAAGTGTTTCTGATTCTTTGCCTGGACCCAGACCTTAGCACTTATATTGCTTTTATGCTTTGATAACTCTGGAATCTTCTCAATGGGGAGAAGAGCACAGCCAATCCACACCTTCTGATCCTGGATGACTTTTGTCCAGGATCCACACTGAATTTTTTCAAAACATGCCTCCTTTTTGATTTCTTGGTGTTGAGCAAATATTACTGGAAAACGTGGACTATCCATGCATCATCCTTTGATTCCTAGGTAGTGTAGAGAATATTTGGAATTAGAAAGACCAGAATTCAAGTTCAATTACAGATACTCACTAGCTGTGTAAGCTTGGATAAGTCACTTAACTTTTCCCAGCCTCATTTTCCTTATCTATCAAAGGGAATAATAATAATGCCTGTATCACAGGGTTATTGTAAGGATCAATGAGATAATTTATGTGAAGGGCTTTGCAAACTTTAAAATGCTTTACAAACACTGGCTGTTATGATTATTTGACTAGCCCATTCCTTTCTGGTTGTACATTGCTCTGATAATATTCATGTCACTTCTGTGTAGTTCTTTGTTGGGAATATGGTGAAGCCTAATCATGCCCAGCATGTCCCTCTCCATTGGCCTTTGGGTGATTTAAGATTCTAACCCTTTGAGTATTGTGGTATTCCATGCTTTGTAACCACATGTCATCATTGGAAAAATGTGGATATTAAAAAATAGATCTTTGTTTCAGGGAGATCATGGATTTCATTGAAAACAGTGAGCAATTTTTAAAAGACAATCTAGCTCGTTCTCCTTTCCTGTTTAATGTAGGATCTTTTTTTTTTTAACATAGATGTACTGATAGACCAACTCCCTGACTGTTCACCAACTGTATGTCATAGCCTGGACAATAGGCATTCATCCATTTGTATTTTTCTCTGTGGACAATTAGGTCAAACTCTTTTAAGTGATTTTAATAGATACCTTTCATTCATTTGGTTTTTCCTACATAGGTAGTTATTTTAAACCCTTTTGAGTGATCACAATAGGCATTCTTCATCTACTTGATTTTTCCTGTGTGAATAGTCAGGTCAAACATGTTTGAGTGATTACCATAAACGTTCTTCATCCAGTTGGCTTTTCCTGTGTTGATGAACTCTTTGGGGAGTTTAAAGCTCTCTTTTAGGAGGATTTGCAGTGTTCTAGGGCTGAATGCAACAGATGCAATATCATCTTCAAATAGCAATAGGAGGAACTCGGCATCTGAAAAGAATCTCACTTCCATCTGGATGCTGCTTAATGTACTCTCTACCGTAGTGGCAAACATCTTCTGTGAGCGCCATCCTCCCAGTTTATGTGTATTTGGTATTTCTAATCAAAGTCTCTGTGGTATCTTTCAAGGAATTTTTTATGACTTTAGCATTTGAATGAGATGCCCGTATTGGAGGACTGTTGAA